GAGATCTGAAAAAAGAAGGATGGTGCCTCTGCCATAGGGAATAGACTGTTCTGACTAGAATGAAAGAAACAAAGGGTAGAAAAGAGAGACACTTGACTTTGTTGGACAAGGCAAACAAACATGGAAAGAAGCTGGGAAAGGGAAAGGGGCTTCAGGTAGAAATCATGAAACAAACAAGGATTATTGTCAAGTTGGGGTGGAGGGTAACGGGGAACTACGGGAGGGAGACTAGAGGAAAGAGAATAGAAAAGGAAAGAAAGCCATGTGACCTTCAGAAATGATGGAGAGAGAGAGAGAGAGAAAGAGAGAGAGAGAGAGATTTAAATATATATAAATATAAATGCAATGCTAAATGCTGGAATTGCGAAAAGAGGCAAAAGACAGTCCCTGCCCTCAAGAAGCTCACAATCTAATGGACTTTAAAGATTAAACACCCTGGCATTTAATTTCATTATCTGTAAAATGAGGGTTTGCTAGGGATTCTCCAAAGCCCTTTCCAACTCTGATTTCCGCCTCCCCCCCCCCAGCCCAAAAGCCCTTCAAGATAATTTTTTAAAGGTTCCATCATATTCACTAGACTCTACTAAAGTGGGCTAAAGCAACACTTGGCCTTGCTATATTTTAATGATTTGGGAAGAGATATTAAGAATAATCACAGGGAAGATATTTTCTATCAACAAGCATTTAACAACAAATGCATTTTGTAAAGGTTTTCAATACTCAAAGCTGAAATGACAGAGAGAAAGTATGGTGTGGCAGAAAGAGCACTCATTGTATGACCTTAAGCAAGTCACTTCACAAATCAGAGAAGTGAACAAGCAACATGAATCATGATTTAGCTCTCCAGATCTCTATTTCCTTATACACAAAATGAAGGCATTGAACTAGATGATTTCTAAAATTTCTTCCAATCCAAGGAATGTCCAAAGTTGTTCAGACCTTCAATTCTGGGATTTATAAAAGGATTTCTGCTTAATCCTTCATACCCAGGACATACTTCCCTCCCCTCCTCATCTCCACCTCTCTAAATCCTTATCTTCAAGTCTCCAACGGAGTATCATCCTCCCTCTATAAAGCCTTCCCTGAACCCCCTAATTGTTGGTGCTTTTTCCCTTTTCAGATTACTTTACATTTACTTACCTGTGCACAAACGTATTGTATCCCCCAGTAAAATATAAGCTCCTTAAGGGCAAAAACTGTTGTTTTTGTCAGTGTCCTCAATACCCAGTAGTGTCTTTCACAGAGTATACACTTAATAAATGCCTTTTCAATTTAAGTCCTTAGAAAATTCAATTAATACTATTCCAGCCCTAGTTGTCCCAATTAATTGAGGTTAACTATAATATGCAAGAGGATGGATTATATGGCAGTGTTATAGTAGCTATTAGTGAAAAGATAAGAAATATTGGAATAAGGTCCCCCTGCCCTTATACAGGTTCTTCCCTACTCCCCCCATATCTAGAAAGCACTGCCTCCTCAACTCCACCTCACTAGTTTCCTCCAAAGCTTAGTTCAGATATTACCTCTATAAGAAGCCTACCCCAATCCTTTCATCTGTCAATACCTCCCCCTAGAAATTATCTTGTATTTATTTTCTGTATGTGTTTATATGTGGGAGGTATACATATATTTATGTATAGACAATATCAAGCACCTAGCATAATGCCTAGCACCCAGTAGGTGCTTAATAAATAAATGCTTGTTGATGGAGATCTTCCCATTCACCTATATCCTTCCTGTGAACATCCCATAATTTCTCTTCCCAACTCATTAAACAGGGCCAGCTGTTGCCTCAGACTATTTCTCTGGATTCATGGCCAAAGTCTGGAACTTTAAGGAACAGTATTATGTTCTACCCAGATGTCCTATCTTTCCTGACAGAATGTTCTCTCCCCATTCCAAGCCTTCCACTTTTTCCAGGCCACCTCTACCTAGAGGACTAAATGGACTTCCCTTCTCCAGCAATGTCCTCTGGCAGAGGGATTGAGAGGAAGATAGGGTAAGACAGCAGTGTTTGGGGTCTTAGATGTGTGTTTGAGGGGAAAGGAGGAGGGGTTTGCAAGGACTCTTCCTAGCTACATTTTCCCTAACAACATAGATGGTAGCTGCAGTCCCAGTCCCAGCTCAGCCTCTCTGAAACAGGTACTTAGAAACTGGAGCCTTCATTTGCATATTCATAAGCACCTGATAAATTAATCATGTCAGCACATTTAGGCAGGAAAAGAAGTATGGACACTGTCTCTCTCTGTCTCTGCCTCTCACTGTCCGTGTATGTGTGTCTGTGTGTGTGTGTGTCTTTCTCTATCTCACACACACACACACACACACACACACACACACACACACACATTCTACCCTAGGCTCTCAAAATCGCCCTCTCTTCCCCCAGTCACTTTAGGAGTTCCTCTGGCCTCCCAGTCAATCCCAAGCTCAGCTTTTTCCAGGAGGCAGATACAACTGTATTGCTCAATCATAATGTAGTCTTCACAGGTATTATTAGTCTTGACTCTCTAAATAATTCGAAGTTCCTGAAAGGCAGGAACCATATTTCATACTTCCCTGTATCCTCAGGGCCTAACAGAGATAAGCACATAGGTGCTCAGATATTTCTTGAATTCATTTTAAGGGGAATCAATCAATAACTATGTATCTCCTATCAAACATCAGGCACTATGCTAAGCACTGGGGATTCAAGGACAAAATCCCATCCCAACCCTCCTTGTGTATAGGCCTTAATATGCCACAATGCCCTTTTTCCTCTTCCCACATTTTCCAAAAATGATTGGTTATAAGGGAAAAGTTAAAATTTACAAATACCTCCATCCTTGCTATTCCATTTGATATATTTGTCTCCTACCTTACGGTTCCCTCCACACCCATTTAGATTCACTCAGTTGTTCAACAACAGAAACAAGACGTTTGTGTGGGGAAAACTGGACCTCCAAAAGGGAAGTAGTCCAGGGAATAATACGGATTTACGGGGGAACCTAGATTTCCAAATGTTAGCCCACAGGTGTTTCCACTAGTGCTGTAAACCTAAAGCACTACATAAATGAATTATCTTTAATAAAATCTGTCCCTAACATTTGTTTAAAACAAGCAAAATGAAACAAGCCTCCAAATGAACAAGAGGAAAGGCAGTTTTAAGCCTCCTGGGGCCTGTTTCCTGATCTAAAAAATTAAGGAGTTGGACTAAATGACCTCTGAGGTCGTTTTCAGCTCTAAATCTGAGTCTATGATATCCATAACTTTCAAAGATTCTCCTCCCCCACCCCAAGTCCTCAGTGGACTATGAATGTTCAAGCCAAAGTTCCCAAGTAATAGCATAAGCTAATCCCTTTGGTTCTGAGGGAAACAAGGATATTGAAATGATTGAAAAGAATCCTTTGCCAATTGATGGAACCCTATTTTATAAACCCACTTAACTTCTAAGGAGCAAGTTGGGATGGTTCAACCTTCTCTTTCTCAGTAGCTTGTCTCTCCAGCAATGAAACAGCCCCCAAAATGACTGAGGTATCTCCTGTGGTCCCTCAATACCACTAAGATTCAGGAGTCCAAGTGTAGGCTCCATAAATGACAATGAAGGAAGTTAAAAGTCCACAGAACTCAATAAGCCAATGGTTAGGAGATCCTAAAGGTTGGCAGGTTTTCCTGTATCCCTTGATCCTAACAGGTAGAGTTGGAATATTATTAACAAGTATTGAAACTTGGAAGGTAACTGGGGACTTTGGCCTGAAAGAGCCTCTTGAGAAATCCCTCAAACACAAAGCAGACTTGAAAGGAAAATACAGAAATGCTCCTTCCTCAGGTCCTTATCTTCAACTAATCGCTGGACATCTTCACCTAAATGTCCCACTGGTACCTCACAATCAACATCCAAGATCCCATCCATCTCTAAATTTATGAACCTATGTCTAAAACCAAATGCTTCATCTTCACTCCTCAAAACAGAAAGTCTTCCTAACTTGTAATTCTATTAACAGAACCAACATTCACTAGTCACTCATTTTTTTTTTCCCCAAGTAATGACTGTTGGGGGAAGACTCAGAAAATGCCAAAGTTGTGGGAATCTCAGCCTTCCATGCCAATCTCAGCAATGCCACCTACTGTCTTTCCCCTGCCCCCAACTACAGCAGAGATTTCATAAACATTTCCAAGTCTGCAATGGGTTGCATTCAATCCTGCAACTATGAGCCAGGGGGTATGTAAACTGGGAATGTTCTTAGGAGCCCCTTCTAAATCGTATTCACTATTTTAATACTGGAACCAATTATTGTGTTGATAACAACTCAATCCCACCTACTAGTGGTTGTATGGATCACCTAACTTCCTAATACTCTCAGAAAGGCCTTGGTTGGCTCCTAGAATTAGAACTTTCATTTCCTTATTAACTTTCATGAGGCTCAAGCTGTTTCTAGCAGCCTGAGTCTCTCCTTCTCCATTCCAATGGGGATGAATGGTCAAGTTCTCTCTGTTCAACTGACTCAAATTCTAGAAAGTCAAGGGATGCAGCCTAAGTAGGCAAGCTCACAGGAACAGGGAAGCTTTGAGGAAAGAAGGTTGTACAATGTAAGTGTAGCAACTACCAAGGAAAATATTTTGATCAAGTCTCTCCAGTTTGGTTTGAAGGGTCAGAAGTCAGAACTGATGGATATGGCCTAATTAGGAGTATGGACTTTTCTAAAAAACCAACTGCCCTCAGTAGACCCAACCAGGCAGTCTGAACTATTCAATGCAGACTCAAAGCTTCACTCCAGCCCTGCCAAGGGCCTACAAGCAGAATTAAGCACTTTAGAGTGGCCCATTCCCAACAATAGGAATACATAGGTAATTAAAATAGGCTTGGCTCAGGACACGGCTATAACAGCCTAATCCAAGGCCACCTACCTTAAAGACCATAAGGGGAAAATGGAGGAAGGGGAGACGGATCCTAGATCCATCCAAGGGGAAAGAGAGCAGGCATAGGGTATATGGTACACAAGACAGACGTCCACATCAGCTCCAGGTGCAAAACAGATTTTTAATCAGAACAGCAATGAAAGAGCAAGGGGTTAGGGTGAAGCAGCCTCAAAATGGAGTGGTGTTGGCACATAGGGCAGGCCCTTGCATGAGAGGCCAGGAAGGTGACAATCTACCTAACTCCATGAGGGGCCCTGGTGGAAGACATTTGGCTTCCCTTTGGAAAATTTTATATAACTTGTATCTTCTCCCCCAGCTCAAGCCCTGAGACTGCTCTGGATCAGTGGATCCAGATCTGGATGACAATCCAGTCCACATGGCAATGGGACCACAGACCAGAGAGGAAATTCAACACACTGTGCTCGTCAAGGTGTTCCCCTACCCCAAAAGGAATGGTACCCGAACCTGGGGATGTGTGAAAGAAGATGAGGGAATGGGTCCAGGCAGCCAAATAAAACTTTTTTTTTAAATAAAAAGAAAAAACAACCCTGATATCAAGAGCAGAGGAAGAAACACTTAATGGAGAAGGGGCTTCTATAGGGAAAACCTGCAAAACCCAGTTCCTGGTAACAGCTCTGGAAGAGCTCGATAAATGTTTGTTGAATTGAAGAAAACTTGGAACTTAAGTGCTGACAACATCACTCCTATCCCAGTTCACCACCCTCACTCTTGAACCCAAATATCCAAGAGCTAGAGTACTGTAATTTGGCCCTCAAGCAAGTCACTTATCTCAGCCCTCAAATGGCTCTAACAGTGTAAGACCAGTTTTCCCAAAGGCAGGTATTGTTACCTCCTCTGTCTTGTGCCCTAGGACCTGGGAGAATCCCACTGGCATGCAATTGCTTTCCAGAGGAAAAAGGGAGTTGAGATAACAAGTCCTCTTTTTCAGTGGCCTACCTACAGCCAGCACAGTGCTGCAAGCAGCAGGATAGTAAGAGTCTAACCTTAAAGCTGGCTTTAACTGCAAGAATCCAGGAGCCAAGATCCCCACTAGATCAGCCCCAAATCCCACCAGTGTGTCTCACTTACCATTCACTGAGGGAAACTTTTCATACAACAGGACTGATATAATCATCTAATGAGGCCTTTGCCCCTACCTCCCAAAAGCCTAGTACCCACCCAGAGAACAACCATCAGTGCTGAGAATGGGACTGGATTATCCTAGAGTCTCATAGCAGCAGCAAAAAAAAGTAAAGCAATATGGCTATACCCAGGGAGGATGCAGACCTAAGCACCACAGAGAAAAAGAGCTAGAATGTGTGTGATTGTAATTGTTCTTTACCTCACCACAGCCAGGATACATTGGCATTGCCTCTAGTCTTGTATTTTTACTGGTCCCTGGCCCAAAGCCCCGCTTCTCAGGCCTCAGGAGATCAAGTATGGAAACTGAGCCCCTGAAATCAACACCTGGTTTGTAAAAGAAGAGCTTGGAAAGGAGGGAGGAAACACAAAAAATAGCCAAGAAACAGCCAGGGCTTCTCTTTCCGCCTGATCTCCCTCATTCTCCAGTCCTATGAGTACCCTGAGGTGGGGACTGGTCTATGGTCTCCTACCCCTACTAGAAGCAACTGCTACTCAACACCCAGAAAGGCAACAGGTAATAGGAAGAAAGTTAATGGAAACAGTAAAACATATCAATCCCCCACACATCTGATGGTACAGAGCAATTTAGCACATAAAGTGGGACTGGGAATTTGGGTGGGGTAAGGACAGAGGCGGGGTGGGGGGTCAGGTAGCCACAAGGACCCTGCTTCTCCAGAGATATACCCTCATTTCGCCTCTGGGAGAAAGGCAGGAGACTGGCCACGCTTTGGTCATTCTTCCCATTCTGGGTCCTTCAGCACTTGCACTGTGGGTATTCACATATCCTGGAGAATTGCCTCAAGGACCAGAGAGATCAGCAGGGAAGTGGTATTGGAAAAGCGAAGGGAGCAGGGTGAGAGAGCTGGTGACCTCCAGGGTAGCGGGTGGTTGTTCCCCCGCCTCTTCTATGATGATGTGACAGGTTGGATGGGCAGCAGGCTACCAAACTTAAAGTGCTGGATCACAGGAAACTTCTCCAGGCACTATAGGGAACACAAAAAAGAGAGCGGAAAAAAAAAGTAAGTTAATATTAACAGCTAGAAGGGCATCTCTAAAATCATTAGTTTACCCAGTGGAAGAATAATCATACTTCTAAATCAGGCCTATGTATGCATGAGGCTGAGGGTGACAGCCTACAGTGGAGCATCAGCAATGGTCACTCTGAGGAAGTTTAGAAGAAAAGATTCTCCACCTCTGGGCCTACACAGAGGAAATACCAGGTGTTTCTATACTGATCCCATCTTTCCTGATGACCTTTCTCTTCTATCTAATAAACTACCTACCTTCCATCTTAGATCTCTGGGAGTTCCTGCTACCAAAAGAGAACATCCTTCTGGGAGAAATCCAATCCCACCGAGAGAATCTCCCCAGGAAAGGGAAAGACAGTATGGATAAAAAGGGAAGCCAAGAGTCAAGAAACAGCACTGGAGATAGGACAAAGGATAAAAGGACAATAAAAGGACAAGAAGCCAAGAGAGTAGCTCCCAGAATCATGTTGATGATTCCTATCCTGGGTCCCCTGGAGTTGAGGCTAGAAATCATTTTCACACCAGTCCACAGGGCAACAGCCAAGGACCCAGCTTCACAATTCTAAGCTTATTGGACTGAAGGCATCTTGGCACTCCAGGGCAAGACAACAAGAACCAGCTGAAATCCTCCCATCCCCAACAATAACTCCCAGCATCGTAACACACTGTACAAGAAAAAGAGAAGCTAAGCAAGGGAGCTGTAAACACTATGTAAGCCAAACCTAACCCAAACCTTTAGCTTGAAGACTCAGGTGATGTGGAAAAGAGATTTACCAAAGGAAAAGAGATACAGCTACAGAGTGGTTCTTGTGGCCCAGAGCTTGCAGTGCCCTCTCTAGTTATGAGCATTCAGGAACAAAGACTCAAAATGTATCTTCCAATGTACCAACTCCCTCAGAAAATACCACACGAATACACTTCCCATCTCAAGCCTAGAGTACTGTCTCCTTATCTCTGCTACCAAGATGCCTAAGCTTTCTTCAGGGCCTAGGTCAGGTACCACCTTCCTCTATAAAGCTTTTCCTGGTCTATCTAGTGTTAATTTGAGGAGAGAATACTATCCTACATTTACTCACTTGCATGTTGTTTCACAAAGAGGAATGTAAGCTCCTTGAGGGCAGGAACTGTTTTCCATTTCTGTCTCTATGTTCTCAGTGCTTTGCATCTTAGTGCTTGTTGAACTGAATATGGATCTAAACCTACCAATCTGTCCTATTCTTAAATCTTCTAGCTCCAGCCTGGGTTCCAAAGAAAGCCAAAGTAATCCAAACTACTAACCATTCACTTAAGTGACTTCAGCCAAAAGGGTCTCTATAACACTGACACAAAGCCTCCTCTCATGCCTCCTGCCACATTGACAAATTGGGAGTCTGACTCCTGGGTAGGATCGAGAGATGGATTACCATTGCTGAAGGGAATAGTGCAAGGGCCAAACTACGGCCTTGATCTCCAAGTCCCAGGGGGGCAAAAGCAAGTCACAGTCATGAAATTAGACTTACAGCAAAGCTTTATCTTCTCACCTCAACAGCTAGCTACAAGAGGAAGGGGGAAGTTTCATGGGGTTGAGTCACAGGGAATTGAGGTCTCACAGGCCAGCATCCTCAAGGGGCCAGGAAGAAAGGCTAGGCCAAGTCTCACCAGAAATGGGAAAACCAGCTTGAACATCTTCATAAAATGTCAGAATATTGAAGCTGAAGGAGAGGAGAAGCCCCAGATGACAGTACAGGACAGCTTCAATCACAGCCAGACTCCAGGGGGTAAACAGAAACAGGACAGAGCAAGCAGTTGGGAGGGGAAGGAAGAGGTCATCCCCAGAGAAGCACATGACAGGGGACAGAAGCAAAGGCAGCTACCACTGCACTTATGTCATCAAGAAAGTAGTGGGAGTTTAGAAAGCCTCTCCCCCAACCCCCAACCCACCAGGGCCCTGGAATTCTAACAAGGGTTAAAAGGTCAGTTTGCTTCATGAACTCAGTCAAGAGATTCAGCCAAGACAAGGATTCTTGGTGAAGGGATAGATGTTCTCTCTGCTCCACCCACACAACCCTTCATCCCAAATCATGCTTTCTTTGGGGACCAGGCACTGGCATATCAAGGCCAGAACAAGTCCAGAGAATTTAGAAGCACATCTTGTTGTTTTACCTCCCCTACTGCCAAAGCCTACAGGGCACTTAGAGCAACAATGGAAGTGGGGAGTCGGGTTAGGGACAAAAAAGTGGCTTTGGGGGACAGGAAAATTTAATCCTTTGGGGATGGAGCAGATGGGAACCTCTGGCCAACATAGTAACTCAGCAAGGCCAAGTCTTGCTAATTGTCCCCCTAGAGGCCAACGCCCTGGGCCTGGGTAAGAACAGCTCCAGTGCTATCCAGGGAACTCCCTCCTCCTACCACATCCTTCCATGCCTAAGGCACAAGCTAGGAAGCTAGAATGAGAGGTCTTTCTTAGATTCTAGCAATTGAAAAAGTTGGGGCCAGAAAAGGAAGAAAACAGGCAACTCTGGAGAACCAAGGAGATGAAAGTCTTTCCAAAAGCAACTATGCTGACAAGCGTCATATTACATAAACCCAACCCTGGTAGCTTTACCTTGTCTTTACTACCCAGAGACTCTATGCTTTGAGTAGTACCTCTAACAAGTATGCAAGAAGGATAGGACTAAAATGACCAACTGTTGGAAGAGTAGCCTCTGGTACATGTTCTGTAGGCATATCAATGCAGCAGTGGGGTGAGGGAAGGGATGGGGGGGAATATGGGAAGTAGGTAACGAGGACATAAGAGCCAACTACCTCCCCCCTACACAAACCCTAACAGATCAGGTTGGGACAGGGAAAGATGACCCTATTATTCTCCTGACAAGGGAGAGAAGAGAACTAGGCTGCAGCCGGAAGGAGCCAGCACAGCTCCTGAGAATGACGCCTCTTAGATTAGAGAGGTATGTGGGTTGGAACCTAAACACAGGATGTGAAGTTCAGAGGAAGGGGGGGAGGGGTGAAAGGAAGGGAGAGAGAAGGCTCGGCCTGGTCAGCTCCAGCTCCATTAACCCTTTCAGGTACTTGGGTTAAGTAGGAACACCAAACATATTCACAGAATTTTTGGTGTTGCAAAACACATCATTCCACCCATAACCCTGTACTTTTATAACTTTTATACTCTCTGAAAAGATGGAAAAGCAGAAAGATCATTTCTTTCAAAAAACAAGATGTTTAACAGTCAAGAGAAATAGACCATCTTCATATAGACAGCTAAGGGATACAATGAAGCCAATCCCCAAGACCAGTCTGAGACATGAAAAGGGGTCCTCAAGGATCCATGTTGTTTAATTCTCCGGGCAGGGAGCCTGAGGCCCAATTCCGCTTTCTCTAGTTATGAAGAACAATTCTAAACCTCATCAGGCATGGCAAATAGTTTTAGGGCTGCTTTGAAGAAGTGGGAAGAATTAGGCTTCTAAATTCTCATTAGCTAAGGGCAGAGGAAACCTCCCTGAAGAGGGCACTAATGGAAACTGGGCAAAGACAACCTATTCACTACCACTTAGGGGGAAAATCTAATGAGCTCTAATGAATGGAGTTGGGAGGGGGTTCTCCTCATTTTAGGGCAGGAGGGACTTAAGCAGAAGATGTTAAGTGAATTGGTTAAAGTCACCAAGATAGTAGACCCTAAGAAGCCAGGTCTTCTGACTCCCAGTTTAGAGTTCTACCTATTATAATCCTAATTTCACCCATAAAAGAGGAAGAGATGATTCTTTCCAGGGACTGAACTGTATCAAGAACAGGAAGAGTGGGCAGAGGGGATACAGGCAGCTGACTAGACTTCCCACTGAAACTCACCTCAGCTTTATACATGCGGATGAGGCCCTGGTTCACTTTGGACCAGGAAGGTACAGCACTGATGTTCCACAGCTGGTTGGAGTGCTCAGCAAAGGGGCCGGTCTTCATCTGGAAGGGACAATGGAAGACTTCAGGAAGGTGGGAGGGTGGAAGGGAGGGGGGTACACCAAGCCAGCAGGGAAGTTTATCCATAGCCACAGTGACTCAGAGTCATACCGATTTCAAACAAACATTCAGGGTGACCCTGGTCCTGGTTTTATGCTTATACATGCTTATCCCTTTTCTGTCTTTACACAAGAATTCTTTACCTCCCCTGACAAGCACCTTTCTGCCCCATATACCTGTCTGATAGAAATGGTCTCCCCCACCGCCACCAAAACATCAGACACAGGAAGATAAAATTCCCATTCTAGCACTTGGTACAGCTTCCATCCATTCCCCTAGTGCAACACTGCTGAGCTTTCCAATACTATGACTCATTCCCACTCAGATAAACAACTCCCCCCAAACACACACAGCAATACAAAGGGTAGCCTCCTGATAGAAGCTCTCAGCTTGTACCTGCCACAGAACCCAGGGTAGGAATAGGAAGGGGGAACTGGGAAGGAGGGGAGGAAAAAGGAAGGCACAGAGAGGTTCCGTCTTTGGATGGTTGGGGTGGGCAAAGAAACTAAGTGCATTACACTGCACTCCATGTGGCAGAAAGGTCTTCGGGGTACAGTGGAGTTGAGAAGAACTTTTTTAAAAACCAACCCAAATATTCTCTACCAGCCACAACCGGAGAGGTAGAAGGAACCCTGGCAGCAGTAAACAGCAGGCACAATTAAAAGGACCACTCTGCTCCTTGGCCCCTTCTCCTTGGAGAGTGGTTCAGACCCTCAGGGAGAGAAAAAAAAATTCAGTAGTCTGCTTTGCTGAGAGAAGTTCCCATGACATCAGAAACCACAGCACGGAGGCCAAGAGGCTTTTATTTCCCTGAGTAGATCTTTCTACCATCATGAGGCAAACACATTTTTATTTATTAACTGAACAGTTAGTAATCTCTACTCTTACACACATCTAGACACTCCCACCTCATGGAAAAGTTGGGTATATCAGGGCTACCTTGTACCCAGAACATATGCCAGAACAGGACCCAGAGCAGAACTCAGCATGACAAAAGAGGAGTGTGTCAGGTCCTATATTATAGCAACAGCCTTAGGCTAGTGCATTATCATTAACCCTGTTCCCCGGGATGAAAGGCACTAAACCTACTACCTGTTGGGGTTGAGCTCCTTTTTAGGCAAGGTAAATAAACAAAGTCCTTCACAACGATTCTCTCTTCTCTTCATTCATATGACCCTGATGCTCCTCCTACCCCAGGCCTAGCTGTGAGGGATTCTCTCTTTGTTTATTCTGACTAGGATATAAAGATTTTGCATTTTACTAATGACTCAGGGTTTTATGGACAACAAGGCAGAAATAGGATTAGAACTCAGACATTATTCATTCAGTCCTATTCCACTTAGTCTTATTGTTACTTGAGGTACTGGCCAATCATACCCTGAAGAAGCAGCATCCCTCCAATTACGATGACTTATGGACCACTTAATATTTCAACCAAGAAAAGCAGCTCTTTTCAATGGGATAGGCAAAAAACATTAGGACCCCAAAGATGCTGGATATACAAGTTCAGTGACCACGATCATTGCACTTATTAGGAAGCAGTCCCCCATTTCCTAAACATTCAACTCCTGAACTCCAAGGGAAACAGAGAACACAACACCAAGACAAAGGCTCCTAAAACATACCATGCTCTCTCACCCAAGGCTTTATCTGTGCTGCTTTTCCCTGCCTAGAACATCCTCTCTACTCTTTTCTATCAATCTAAATTTTACTTATCCTTCAAAATCCAGCTTACATCCCATAAGCTCCATGGAGCTTTCTTTCTCCTTTCTTCTGTGTCCCATAGCATTTACTATCTATAGTATTCATTTGGCCAATCACATAGTGCCTTGATTTCCAGTTAATTTACAAGTGTTTGTGTCATCTCAAGTTAGGGGGGAAGGCCCTCAGGGAGCAACCAGGTTACATAACTCTTTTGTGAGGATGAGGATGATGATGATGATGATAACTAACATTGGTACACAGCTTCAAGGTTTTTAAAGTGCTTTAGAAATATTATCTCACAGAGGTTAAGTGATTTGCCCAGAGTCATACACCTAGTATACATGGCCAAATCTGAACTTAGGCCTTCCAGACTCCAGATCCAGTGCTTTATCCACAGGGCCACCTAGTTATCCCCAAAGTGCTGAGTATAAGCAGTATTCTTAGGGTAAAGGTTAATAGTTTAAATGCTTGTTGAAACTAGTTGAATGGGGAAATGCTTTGGAACCCTAATGCTTTATTCTGCTGCAGCAAGTCAAATTCCTTACTCCATGGGCTTCTGGGAACCAACCCAGTGCAAGTATATATCCCCAAATGAAAGTGGTAAGGTTAGAAATGAAAGCTCTCCAGCTAATTCTGTGGTGCCTCGCTCACTCACAACCTAGAACACTGTATCTTTGGTCTGCTGGGACAGGATTTGGTCATGCTCTCATTGAGTCAAAATCCCCTCCCCACAAAGGCTAAAAAGGAAATAGAAAAAAGAACAAGAATACTACCAAAGACCCAGTATGGTGGGAACTGGCCCATTTCTGAGAGGGATGGCCATCGCTGGGTCACGGCAAGAAGAGTTATAATTGTTTGGGAGAGCAGAGGGGAAGAGAAGAGAAGGAATAGGGGTGAGAAGAAAAAATTAGCTCATTCTAGCCACAAAGGGAGAAGAGAGAGCGAGCACTAGAGCAAGCAAGCAAGCTGCAGTCCCGCAGTGACCCCAGGGGAATTGAGTGAGTCAGAGCAGCCATATTGAGCAGGAAATTACTCACAGACGCTGCGTTCCTGCCTCTCTGCTCCCAAGAGAATCGGCCTTTTGTAAATGGTTCCTCTGTCAGTAACTGGGGGGAAGGGGGGGGGGGAAGCTGGGGGGGAGGGGAAGGGGCAGAAGAGGGAGGGAAGGCTCTGTGCAGTGCCTTCCTGTCAGCTCCTTCCCTTCCAGCTGAAATCTGATCCCTCCCTTCCCAAAACTCCAAATTTAGAAGCCAGATTGAAACTGAAATTCTTTTCCTGCCTGCCCTAGGCTCTTAAAGGCACCAAGACTACATTTCCCAGGGCAACAGGCTTCCTAGAACATAGCTCCAAGATCTAGGATACACAGGGTCACCAAAGAACTGAGATATCCCCAAGAACCTCCATGGTATATGGCTCTCTCTCTAGGAAGATTCTGGAGGGAAGTCCATTTCTAATTAATTCTTTAAGGGTTTGTTTCTTTTTTAATCCACAAACTATATAATAAACTCAAAAACCTTAAGCCCTCTATCTCTAGGTGTAATATGGAAGCCTCTGGGCCTCCACAATGAATTGTTCTTCCTCCTTAGGTATTTAAATACATTCTTTTTTATTGCAGTCAATAAGATTTGGTCACTCAACAATTACATAGTAGTGTAGGACGGTTGGGAGGAAGTGGGGCTGGTAGTGCTATAAGAAGGAAGGAAAGAGAGGATGCACAAATTAGAGTACTAGAGGGGAACTACCAGGTATATAGCACCCCTAGTCACATTCATATATTTCTTCTGTACAAATGTGTAAATCAAAATTAATCCTCACCAATATCAGGCCTAGTATAACTTCTAATGTTCAACTACTAATATTGTTTTGGAGCAAGAAATAAGGAAACTAAGGCCCAAAAAGGAGAGAAAGAGAGCTAGAAAAAGAGGGATGAAGAAAGGAAAAACTTTCAACCACCACCACCCCACCTTTTATACATCACCTCCCACGCTTTTCAATTTCACCAAATCCTAAGTGTTCAATATGCCTTCAGTGCCACCTAGTGGCTGCAATGGGTTTTCTTTTGTTGTAAGAACTGGGCAACTCAAATTTCAGTAAAAGCTATTTATCAGAAATATGAACTGTAATCTCCTGCACACTGTGAATTTCAGATTACCCCAGTTTTGCCTAGACCCAGGAGGCTAGAGTTAACAGGGAGAGCTAAAATAGCTACTAACCAGCTTAAGTCTTTGTTGTTGTTCAGTCATTTTTCAGTTACATGTAACTCTTCATGACCCCATTTGGGGTTTTCTTGTCAAAGATACTGGAGTGGTTTGCGATTTCTTTCTCCAGCTCATTTTACAGATGAAGAAACTGAAGCAAACATAGTAAAGGGGCTAGCCCAGGGTCATACAGCTAGTTAAGTATCTGAGGCCAGATTTGAACTCAGGAAGATGAGTCTTCCTGACTCCAGGCCCAGCACTCTGTATCTACTTCACCACCTAGCTGTCCCACTTAAGTTTTTACTCACCAAAAAACAAAGGAAGAAAAAGACCTTTCTACAAGACAAAACTGAATTCTCCTACCCTGGCTCTTCTCGTTTCAATTTCCTACTTTTGTAGACATTCTTTTTTCCACTTTAAACACAAGCAAAAACATGTTATTGTCTCTCAAAGCAGTGAGTCAGGCAATACCCAAGTCCTGTCATCTAGGTCTCCCTATCCCCAATGACCTTGGTCCCATTACAATGTTGAAAGCAGGTCTCCAGGAATGAAGAATTGGCAAAGCAGCAGCCAACTCCAGATTCTCTTTGCTAGTTTTGGAAGGGAAAAGTTTTTCCTTTTTAAGCTCTGATTTCTGAAGGGGCCAGAGCTTAACAATGACCACAGAGTAACTTTTGTATTACAGACCAATCGATGTTCCTTCCTAAAAAGCTGAGACTTCAGAGGGGCTAAGTGAGATATAAGCCACAAGAATAGTGACAATGTGTACAACTCTTGTCAATCTAGCAAGAATATGGGCCTGAAGCTAGAAGGCATTTATTAGGGTACCTGGAGCTTGCAGGCATATGTATGTACAAGCAGCTCATATATCTTGGTGCATCCAGTTCCCCCTTCTCCTTATGTTTTTTTGAAGAGGAGAAAGAACCAAAACTAACAGTACCAGCATAGAAATTATAGACCTACAATGCGAATGGAAGCTCCCAGAGGAAAGGGACCTCACTAGATATATGTTCTGTTAAATGCCCAACATAAAGTCATCTCATCACTTGATAATTGAAGGGGAGGCTGGAAATGGGTTTCTTTCTCCATAAACTAACTTTATTTACTATCTCCTCTCAGTCTCCCTAGGAACAGATACCATGGCTCCTCAGATCAAATCTCTCCTATTTTAGTATCAAAAGCTCATCTTTATGAAGGGTCCTGTTTCACTTAGGTTCACAAGAAGGTTCACACGTAGGGATTCTAAATTGGAGAATGCCACCTATACATTCTCTCCACCCCCAAAAGGAAACCATAGTCCTCCTCACCTCAGTAATAAATAGGATGCATTCCAGGAACATGTAGTCCTTGTGATTCTCATTCACTGCCTTTTCATCCACAAAGTGCCTAGGCTCCAGGTATGGGTGTTCTAAGAAAGGGAAAACCTCATAATGAAGAAACTGGTCCTTGAAACTATGTATTCCTTCTTAATTCCAGTCATATATTGTACCTACTTCTACAGCCCAGCTACAAATAATAATAATGATGATAGCTAACATTTATATAGTGTTTTAAGTTTTGCAAAACATTTTACAAATATTATCTCATTTTATCCTCACAACAACCTGGAAGGCAGGTGCTATTATTATTCTCATTTTTATAGATGAGTAAACTGAGGCAAACAGAGGTTAAGTGACTTGCTCAGAGTCACACAGCTAGCAAGAGTCTTCGGCTTGATTGGAACTCAGGTCTTTCTGACTCCAAGTCCAGTGCTCTATCTACTTCATCCTCTATCTGCCTATGAGAGACAAATAGAGGCCATGATAGACTCCAAAGAATCAGTAGCTGATCTAGACATATAATTTGCAGTTGATTCACTCCAAGTAAAATGGAAAATAAAGCAACCCTGCTCTTTTCTTTAATTCTTGCTCAGTCAAGATGAGCCGACCCAGAAGCTGAGAGTCAAAGTATGCCTACCCTTGGGTTTGACATGGACCTTAACAAATCATTAGCTGATTTGTACTTAGGGAAAAAAGGAGTCCTGTTTGGGGGGAGGGGAGGAAGGGGAAGGGGGAATAACTTATTTTTCTGATGGGTTCTACATAATGCTCAATAATAACAGAGGATGACTTTAGATCTTTCTGGTCACTAATCCAAGAGTATACCTCATTTTAAATCTAAAAACACGACAGCTGCCACCAGGAGCTGGGGTCTAAATTTCACATCAACTCATTAAGCACTAAGCAAGAAGCCTTGCTCCTTCAGGCCTTGTCACGTCCCATCATCTCTGCAGTGCTCTACCTCCTCCTCCCACGCCATCACCAAACCAGCTCACAGCTGAAGGTCAACAACAAACAGCCTCAGTCCATAGCTGGTTTAATGCCCTGGTTCACAAGCTGTCGCTGGCTGCCAGGTGCTGGGTGCTGGGCTCTGGACAGGAAGTAAAAGGGGAAAGAGAAAGGAGGAGGGGGAGTACAGGAAGACAGAGGAACGCACTGGGGAAGAGGGAGGAAGAGTCTTCTCTGGTACCTATAAGCTGAGAACTGCCCCAAATGAAGGGCAAAAACTGGAAGTCATCTAGACCCCACACTCCTTGGCTTCCAGCTGGCTCCATCCTGTAGGTTTTCTGAAGTTTCCTCATGACCTCAAGGTACCTGAGGTGAAGAAGACAGGAAAAAGTACAAGACAGATTCTCAACCGTTCTATACCACAGAACAAGAGGCAAAAGAGATAGCTTGGGAGCAAGTAGATCCAATTTTGATTAAAATCAACACGTAAAAAGTCTGTCTTATTTTTATATATTGAGAATGCATATGATATTGAAGAAAGGTCTATATCTCAGGTCAGGCAACCTAAACCCCTTAATCCTGGCTCTGCCACTGACTTCCTATATGACCCTGGCCAAATCAAACTCTCTGGACCTCAGCTCCTTCATCGACAAAATGAAAAAGTTAGACTAGTCTGTAGAGGTCCCTTCTACCTCTAATTCCGTATCAGCTTGCTACCTTCAAAGCTGACCATTTTACTTCCCACTCCCATCCCCTCAAAACATTATATACTCATCTGCTTCATCAGTCTGTGGTGTTTCTGAGAAGTGCCTTAACTTCTACAGTGGAGACAATGCTACTCTTAAACTGCTCAGCACTGTGAATATTTCCCAGTGGGCCAGAGAATACATGACATTAACATTTGGAATAAAGCACTGAGGCCCCCTGCTCAAGCTTACTAAGATACTACCAGGTGGCAAAAGACCACTGGCAAGGAATTTCTTCAACCTTTCTTTGGCATCTGTTTACCCTACTACATCAGCACAATGAAATTTTAGAGAAAAGAGAAAACCAGAAAAACTAAGCAATCTAGGGAAGGTGTGAAGAAGATAAGAAGGAACAACACAGGAATCAGACTGCTTACTAGCCCTCCCACTAGGGAGTTATTCTTTATTCCTGGGTCCCACCAGGACAGTAGCAAGAAAACAAACTCCATCCCCACCAGACCCTGTTCCTCCTTTCCCTCACCGATTAAATACTTTGAAGACAATGGCCATTTGGTCATCTACCCTGAGGACTCCAATCTTGCAGAGACAGCAAAGGAAGGCAGCAAAGGCTGCTTCATGACCTGGAAGAGGGAGAAAAAAACAAAAACAGGCTGAAGGAGGCCACAGCTTCCATAAAAAATGAAAGGCATTTCTTCCTGCTCTCCTAGACTGTCCCTGAAAGATTAAGAAATAGGTATCTTCCTCCAAAGGGAATATACAGAGTTAGAATCTAGATCTCACACAGGTTCAAATTGGATTAGGCCTTTTCTAGCTCTACCAGTGTTGTAAATTCATTCCTAAATATGTCTGAGCTATTAGCTTAAAAAAAAAATAGAAATGCATATAATCTGACACATATAATTCATCCTATTTCAAACACTAAGAACTCCATCCTCCCCATTCCCCAACATCACCACATTAGGTTGGGCTGGACAAATCAAAATCAACTGCTAATTGTTAGGGCTTTGCCTGGAGAGGTTCAACCTCAAGCACATTAAATTCCCTGCTGATTACTTAATATCTTTATCATCATTCAGCTGCATTGGACTCAAACCAGTCAAAGCCTCAACCAACCAACTACCAACTATGGCAATGATCAAAAACCAGAGACTTGAACACACAGCCATCTTGTTTACCTGGAGTCTTTGATTTCTGGTCTTGGTCGGATCCTCCCAAATGTACAACTCAAAGCAATTATTAAGTATTCCCTCCATCCAGGAAACAAATCAAGAGAAAATGTACTCAAAAGCCCAAGGTCTACCTAGATTTTCTCAAACTCTTGCTTTAAAAACCCAAGTACTAGCCAAAGCTGGAGGCCTGGGCTACTGCTACCACAAGGAGCTCATCGGGCTGTACATTTCAGGATGGAGAAGAGAGACAAAGAAGAAAGACTTCTTCCAAGTCTCCCTGGGTATATGGATACTTGGCATGAAAAATACACTTTTTTTAAGGTTTGACCTTCTTCATGAGGTCAAAGTCAGCCCAGAAGCCCCAAAAGGAACCCAGTAACATCAATCAAGAAGACAGAGGACCTCAGGGAAAGCATTTGTCAAAATACAAGGAAACCAAGAGTAAGCCCCAAGAGCAAACCAGCCCTTTAAGAAGCTTTGCAGAGCTCTATAGAATGCTGCCTGAAGATGCCAAGGAGAAGAAACACAAGCAGCACCAGGTAAGAGTAACAGAGATCCATCATGAAAGGGAGAACAGAAAAACAAAATAACTATTCAGGAATCCACATTTTGGGCAATACTTCCCCCTGGTGGACCAAACTAGCACCACACCAGCCATGTGCTATTCTCAGACACAAAACACAGCTCCTCTCCAAAGCTTTTCACTTCTGATATATAGCAAACTTCATGAAAGCTACATTTCACAGACACAAGCTACAAAAACTCCTGCTTACCTGGGATGGCTGCAGGACAGCCAAAAATAAAGAAAAAAGGCAACCTGAGGAAGGACAAAGATGAAGCAAAATAATCACCATCTCCCACCACCCAAGTCCCTTAAAACTGCAAGTCCCAGGCAAATTACCTGTGCCATAATCAATTCGAGTAGGGTTTCCCACCGATTCCTTTAGGTAAAGGGCCACCTCAGGTACAGCAGCTGCCAGATGGCTAGGGACCACTGTGGCCACTAGGTTTTCTGCCTCCTGATGAAACAAGATGGAGAAAATTAGAATCATATTGCTTAGCATTCAGAACAGGCAGCAGCTGAGAAATGTGAAAGTAAAGGGGGGGGGGGAAGCATCCACCAACAATCCCACTTGCCTCCCCAGTAGATGGCTAGCCTCTACACCTCTGCCATATTCCCTTGCTTGGCCATTATAAATGGTAGTCTCTCCTGAGTCCAAAAGAGAGAAGCCGTAGAAATAGTACAGAAAAGGAGCTCTCATTGACACATTAAGGAGAGCTGACCTAGTACAAGACTAAAATAGTGGACAAAAGATTAGCTTTAAAAAGGACTTCTGTCCTTTCTTAGGGGAAGGTAGGAGAATTCTGCTGTAAGGCCTCCACTCCCTTACTCCAAAGGGTAGAAGACTCTGCTTTCTGATTAAAGTATAAACTCTACCTGATTTTCAAGGCTCTCCACAATCTGGCAGCATTCACCTTTCCAGTCCTCTCATTTCATGCCTTATACATGACATTCAAAATGAACTACTCTGCTCCCAAATACTCCAAAAACTTCTACACCTTTATTCATGAAATAACCCCTTGCCCAAAATGCCTTCCTTTTAATTGGTTAAAGCTCAATCCAAATGCTACCTTCTCTAAAACTTTCCCCTAAGATATCACACAGCACTTTACTTTGCAATTCTCTAATTCATTTCCATAATGTTGGGCATATCTACATTCGTCTTAATCCCCTAGAATGTAACTTACATGAGGGTAGGAGCTATCACCTAACCTTTGTATCTTCCCTAGTATTTAACATAGTATTAAGCACACAGTAAATGCTTAACATATTTTTTAAATGAATAGGAAGAATTTAAGGCAAACTAAAAGTATTTTCCCTTCCCAAAGAATTGATGATTTGCATTATATCTAGATGCCCAAAGATTACCTTAACTTAAGGCTTACCCAGTATCTGGGGGACAGCCCTTTTTCCCCTTGACAACCACCAGAACATCCTGATCCCTGACAGGTCTCAATTCCAGTTTTACACCACCCACTTCTATTAGTCCTGTACATATGAAATGCTTACCTGGTCAAGTTTAGCATACCAAGTCCTGAAGGCTTTGTTCCCAAATCTGGAAGGTTGATCCATGGGAGGGGTCTCATCAATCCATCTGTCTAATGTGTTGAGGAGAGCGACAAGCTTATTAATGGGCTGTATGAGGCAAAACAGAAAGAATGGAATACAATAAAGCAATAGCATTAGATGTGGAGGAACTACCAAAGGGGGGAAAAAACAAAACTCCCGGTTCTGATGGACTCACAAGGAACACTATCAAACTTTTAAAGAATAATTAGTACCAATACTATACAAACTATTCTCAAAAACTGAGAAAGAAAGCACCCTATCAGATTCCTTTTATGAGACAAATATTGTCCTAAAACTTCAACCAGAGAATACAATGAACAAGATCAATGGCTCCAAGCAAGCCCTACCAGTTCTGGTGACTTTGTTTTTTAAAAGTCTTGGTTTGGGAGTCAGGACTCCAGGACTCCAGGACTCTAATTACAAACTGACTAAAGAAGCCTGGTTATGTCACTGCCTATTTTAGTGTCTTAAAAACATAGCCTTACGCATACATGTAGGATTTTTAGTGTGGTCTAACAGAACACCGAATTTGGAGTCAGAGAGCCTCAGCTTCCAAACATCAGCTTTGCTAACCTGTTACCTGTGTAACCAGAGGGACATTACTTCACTTCTTTGGGTTCCTGTCCTCAACAGAAAATGAGAGGATATGGACTCTATTATCTCAAAGAGCCCTTTCCCTTTTAAGGGTCATTCATTCATATATTAACATTTGCTATGTACGTACATACACACACACACACACGGCATTAGACACTGGACACAGGTGTAGTGGACAGAGCCTAGGACTTGGAGTCAGAAAGACCTGAAGTCAAATCCCTGCTCAGATACTTACTAGATGCGTGACCCTAGGCAAACCATTTTACCTCTCTGCCTCTCAGTTTCCTCCTCTGTAAAATGAGGGGGTCGGACCTAATAGCCTTTAGGGTCCCTTTCGGTTCTAAATCTGAGTTTATGATGCTTTGACATTTTCTGGTAGCAAAAAAACTGAAAGCAAAATGAATACCCACCAAATGGACAATGGCTAAATAAATTCTGGTATATGAAAAGAATGGAATAGTACTGTACCATAAGAAACGATGAATAAAAGAATTCAGAGAAACATAAAGCTTTTATATGAATTAATGCAAAGTGAAATAAGGAGAACTATGAGAAGATATACACAATGACTACAATAATGTAAAGGAGAACACTGAAAGTCAATAAAACTGATTAATTAAAATGTCCAATCGTGGTCCCAGAAAATAGATGATGACAATATACATCTCCCTCCTTTTAGCAGAGATGTGAGGAACTAGAGATGCAGACTGTTGCATATGCTGTCAGACTCAATCCCTTTGTTAGTTTTGCTTAGTTATTTTTCTTTATTAAAAGGGAGAGTTCAAGGAGGGTGGTATATTAAGAAGGAAGTCATGTGAAAATGAAAGGCCTCAATAAAAACAAACACAAATATAGGCAATAACTAATTTCCTTTAGAACTTACCATACTGAGTTCAAAATAATTATCAACCCTCAACTGCAACAAGTTGTTCATGTAGAAAGTAACCTCCATCTCCTTTTTGCCCAAACCATCATAATAAAGAATATGTATCAAGGGTGTGTGGTGACCTCTAGGAAGGAATGGGCTGAATAAAGGAGACTCTTCAGGTCTCTACAATAGTAGCTGATTCCTCTAGCTGCCCAATAAAGGAAAAACTAGAGTCTGAAGGTTCAGTTCAGGACTCAAGACTTTCTCAAGACAGAAAAGCAAAGGTCCTTTATAGAGGTAGCCAGAAAATATCCTCCTCCTTCCGCTGGAAGGAAAATATCATTACGAAGGGCAGTTAGGTGGCGCAGTGGATAGAGCTCTGGCCTTGGAGTCAGGAGGACCTGAGTTCAAATCCAGCCTCAGACATACAACACTTACTAGCTGTGTGACCCTGGGCAAGTCACTTAACTCTGATTGCCTCACACAAAAAACAAAAACAAAAACAAAAAAGAAAATATCATTAGGGCAAATCCTTCATCTCAGATACACTGTAAAACAGAAAGGGAGATTTCTGATTATCCTGAGCTATAAAAAACAACCTAAGATTTCAAGCTGAGCATTGAAGGAAAGGGAGATGAGAAAAATATGGTAAGAAAAGTATCATAATCATAGGGTAGGAGAAAGTGACAGCGAGGTGGACAAACAGTATTGTACACAAACAATTCTGTCATCAAGAAAGTTGCAAAAGCTAACAGGCCTCAACCACGGATTGAAGAAAGCAGATGAGGCTAACTGTCAGACACAGAGAATTAAGTAGTAGACTAGAAATGGATTATAGAATCAAGTTAGGGCTAGCTAATCAAAACGTACAAAGATGTGGGCAATACCTAAACTTAGGTGGCCCCAGAGTTAAAAAAAATGACTATATTAGCTGGAAGGGCAATTTCAGAGAAACAGTGAGTTTGTAGGAAGCTTGTATATATTTGTATATATGAGCAGTAATATCCTTAGAAAGTGAGACATATGGGCAGCTAAGTGGCGCAGTAGATAGAGCACTGGCCCTGGAGTCAGGAGGACCCGAGTTCAAATCCGGCCTTAGACACATAACACTCACTAGCTGTGAGACTCTGGACAAGTCACTTAACCCCACTTGCCTCACAAAAAAAAAAAAAAAAAAGTTAGACATAATCAGGGGTGGTTTTTTATTTCCCCCTGCTGGATTTATGAAACAAACAATATGTCCTGCTTCAACCTACCTTTGCAAACAAAAGAAATTTGGAATCCCTGAAAGATGAGAAATTTCCCTCTATGACCACTTGGAAAGATAAAGCACCTCCATAAGAAGGCCTCAAAGAGTTGCTTAGACCTCAATGCATACAGAATCAGGTTACTGGGAGGGTCTGAGAACAGACCTAACTCACCCCATGTAATTCCCACAGCACAAAGAAGAACAGCTATTACAAGCTGAAAAAGACCCAACAAAACCTGGATTTTCGGTAGGCCTTTGGCCTCCAGAGGAAAGCTGAAGGGGATTAAGAAGTGCATGCTGGTGGCTAGCTGGAGCCTGCTGGCTCAGCTAGGTTAAATAATTAAAAGCCCCCTAACATCTTTTCTGTGGACTTCTCTTTGAAAGGAGCAAACTGCCTATTGTCTAGTTGGAGGCAGGGAGAATGAGTCCAGGAGAAAGGCTGAATTAGCACAAGTCAAGGGCCCTCCCACCAAAAAGAACAGTTCCTGCTTTCAATTTCTCTAGAGCACTTTGCCAATTCTTCCCAGTACCAAAATGCACCCACCTCTGGGGGGAGGTACAGGGAGATTAGAGAACACAAAGCAGCTACTCTTGATCTTCTACTCCAGAGCCACAGGTAGGTAGTACCACCCATTCATCTGCCTTCAGCTCAAAGTGAACTACACTTACGCTGCCTGTGGTCCTTCCTAGATTTTTGTAGCTGCTCCTATACCCCTGGAGACTGAGCAAATCCCCTCTGCCTCCCTACCTCTAGAATGGTCTCAATCAAATAAAACACTGGAGCTAGGAAAAAAAAATACATGCAAAAGCACTTAACACTGGAGCCTCAACAACAATCAAAGCCAGAAAGCACTTTGGCAAACAAGGATTTGCTTAAGTAATTATACAGCTTCTCTTTAATTAACTCCTTCCCATCACTGACCTTAGCCCAAGTAATAATAGCTCACATTTATATAACACTTTAAGATGTTTTTGTTTATTTTAAAAATTATTTTATTTTTTCAATTACATGTAAAAACAATTCTTAACATTCACTTTTTAAAATTTTGGGTTCCAAATTCTCTCCCTTCCTCCCCTCCCCCCAATTGAGAAGGCAAACAACTTGACAGAGGTTATACATTGCAGTCATTCAAAACATATTTCTTATTAAGTCATATTCTGAAAGAAAACACAGACCAAAAAAAAATTTTTAATAAAGTAAAAGAAAAGTATGCATCAATCTTCAAGTTCTTTCTCTGGAGGTGGACAGCATTTTTCATCATAAGTCCTTCAGAACTGTCTTGAAAGAATAGCTAAGTCATTCACAACTGATCATCATAAAATATTGCTGTTACTGTTTACAATGTTCTCCTGTTTTTTCCCTTTTGTTCTGTTTCTTCTTCCACAAAACGACTAATGTGGAAATATGTTTACATAATTGCACATGTATAACATATCAGATTGCTTGTTGTCTTAAGGAGGGGGGGATGGGAAAAGGAAGTGAGAGAAAAAATTTGAAACTCAAATTTTTATAAAAAATGAATGTTGAAAACTATCTTTACATGTAATTGGAAAAAATAAAATACTATTTCCAAAAACAAACAATGTTCTCCTGGTTCTACTCACTTCACTTTGCATCAGTTTATGTAAGTCTTTCTATGTTTTTCTGAAACCACCTTGCTCATCACTTCTTATAGCACAATCGTATTCCATCACAATCATAAACCACAACTTGTTCAGCCATTTTCTAATGATCATCCCCTCAATTTCCAATTCTTTGTCACCATAAAAAGAGCTGCTATAAATATCTTTGTACATATAGGTCCTTCCCTCCTTTTTTTTTTTAATCTTTTTGGGATACAGGGGTATTTCTGGGTCAAAGGGCACATACAGTTTTATGCCCTTTGCTCTCAAGAATGGTTGGATCAGTTCACAATACCACCAACAGTGCATTAGTGTCCCAATTTTTCCACATTTCCTAAAACATTTGTCATTTTCCTTTTCTGTCATATTAACCAGTCTGACATAGGTGTGAGGTGGTAAGTCAGAGTTTTTTAATTTGCATATCTCTAATCAATAGTGATTTAGAGCATTTTTATATGACTACAGATAGCTTTGATTTCTTCTGAAAACTGTTCAGATCTTTTGACCATTTATCAATTGAGGATGGCTCTTATTCTTATAAATTTGAATCAGTTTTCTATATATTTAAGAAATGAGGCCTTTATATGAGAAACTTGCTGTAAAATTTTTCCCCCAATTTTTGTAGGATTCTGATTTTTAATCTACTCTGCTATCCACTTCCCTTTTATGGGTGAGTTCAGCCCATTCACAGTTATGATTACTAACTGTATATATCCCTCCATCCTATTCTCTCTCTTTCCCCACACCCTTCACCCTGTCCCTCCTCAAAAATGTTTTCCTTCTGACCATCACTTCCCCCAATCTACCCTCCCTTTTATCAGCCCTCCCCCCTTCTCTTATCCCCTTTCCCTACTACTTCTCTGTAGAGGAAGACAAATTTCTATACCCAACTGAATTGATATGTTATTCCTTCTTTGAGCCAATTCTGAAGAAAGTAAGGTTCAAGTGTTGCTTACCACCCCCTCATCTTCCCCTCCACCATAAAAGCTCTTCTGTACCTCTTTTATGTTAGATAATTTACCTCCATTCTACCTCTCCCCTCCCTCTTCTCCCAGTGAATCCTTCTTTCTCATCACCTCATCATAGTCAATTCACACCTGTGTCCTCTATGTATACTCCTAACTGCCCTAATAATGATAAAGTTTTCAGGAGTTACAAATATCATCTTCCCATGTAGGAAGTTTAACCTTATTGAATCCCTTATGGTTTCTCTTTCCTGTTTACCTTCTTATGCTTCTCTTGAGTTTTGTATTTAAAAGTAAAATTTTCTATTCAGCTCTGGTCTTTTTAGCAGGAATGCTTGAAAGTCCTCTATTCATTAAATATTCATTTTCCCCTAAAATATTATACTCAGTTTTGCTGAGTATTTGATTCTTGGCTATAATCCTAGCTCTTTTGCCCTCTGGAATATCATATTCCAAGCCCACCAATCTTTTAATGTAGAAGCTACTAAAGCTTGCGTTATCTTGACTGTGCTTCCATGACATTTGAATTGTTTCTTTCTGGCTTCTTGCAACACTTTCTCCCTGACCTGGGAGCTCTGGAATTTGGCTATAATATTCCTGGGAGTTTTAATTTTGGATCTCTTTCAGAGGGTAATCAATGGATTCTTTCAATTTCTGCTTCACCCTCTGGTTCTAGGATGTCAAGGCAGTTTTCCTTGATAATTTCTTTAAATATGATGTTGAGGCTTTTTTTTTTTTTGATCATGACTTTCAGGTAGTCCAATAATTCTTAAATTATCTCTCATCAATGTATTTTCAAGGTCATTTGTTTTTCCAATGAGATATTTCACATTTTCTTCTATTTTTTCATTCTTTTGACTTTGTTTTATTGTTTCTTGATGTCTCATGGAATCATTCACTTCCACTTGCCCAATTCTAATTTTTAAGGAATTATTTTCTTTAGTGAGTTTTTGTACTCTCTCTTCTATTTGACCAATTCTTCTTTTTTTTAAGGAGTACTTCTCTTCACTGGATTTTTGAGCCTCTTTTACAATTTGACTTATTCTATTTTTTAAGGTGTTATTTAATTCAGTATGTTTTTGTGCCTCCTTTACCATGCTGTTGACTCTTTTTTTCCCATGATTTTCACTCTCATTTCTTTTCCCAATTTTTCCTCTTATTTGATTTTTAAAATCCTTTTTAATGGACAGAGCACTGGCCCTGGATTCAGAAAGACCTGAGTTCAAATATGGCCTCAGACACATAACACTTACTAGTTGTGTGACCCTGGGCAAGTCACTTAACCCCATTGCCTAATCCCCCCCCCCAAAAAAAGAATTAAAAATGAGTCACCCAAAAAAAAGGCAATGAAAATTTACAAAAAAAAAATCCTTTTAAAGCTCTTCCAGCAATCCTTTTTAAGACCAATTCACATTTTTGAGGCTTTGCACATAATTGTTTTCCCCTCTGCTTTTCTATATTTATTTGTGAAGATTTTATGCCCTAATACATGGTCAGGTTTGTTGGTTTGTTTTTTTTTAAGATGCCACAGACAGCTGAGAAACAGGTATGGTCTTTTCTATTCCCATTCAATATTATCCAGAGGTCTATAATATCTACTTTCCTAAAAGTTAGAAAAGAAGCAAGCAGCAATAGATACCAGGAACAGAGCAGAGTCTCAGTTCTGACTTCTAGTCCTGTGTATATCTGAGGGAGTATCCCAGGCTTTTGAAGGAAATGTTATGTATTGCTGCTATAGCATGCCACTTAGTAAATGTCTTTGCCTTGAGTTAACTGTGTCTTCTGGCTAACTGGGGTAAAGGTAAATTTATTGATGGAGAACATGAGCTATAGTTTTTTTCACATAGCTGTTTTGACATTGTTGTTTTCTAAGTTTGTGTTTTGATCTTCCCTGTCACCATAGTAACTTTCTATGGTCAAGTTCTTTTTTTTTTTTAACTTTTGCTCTTCTTCCAGCCTTTTTCTTGACTTTTAACTTTATGCTAAAGTTGGGCTCTGCTCCTGGGGTGGAGGACACAGTGTCCCAAGCTTCAGGTTTTTCATGCTGCTGTTTTCAGGATTTGTAAGCTTTCAGTTCTTCCAAAGTGGTATGATGTAAGGAGTGGTGTGGTCACTGTTCTTCTGGCCTATGCTCTGGTCCGTGAGTCCACCCTGGAACTGTGACCAGGGTCTCTGCTCCTGCTAGTGCTCTTCCTCGCCTTAGGACTGAGACCCAGAACTGCATATGGGCAATGTAACAGAGTCTTGCACTAGGTGCCAGCAAAGGGTCCCCTGTAATCTCCTTCTGACCAGTAGTCAAACCGCCCCCTCCCTTACTATCCATGGGCTGAGAGCTCCAGAAGCTTTCATCTCAGCCACTTCAGTTGCCTCAAGGATTACTACTGATTTGCCAGAGTTCCACTCTCATCCCAGTGAGACAGACCTTTCTTACTGACCTCCTAACTTGTCTTGGGCTAGAAAATTATTTCACCCTTTTTGTTGGTTCTGCTGCTCTAGAATTGGTTTTGAGGCAATATTTTAAAGTTGCTTGGAGGAGAATTTGGGAGAGCTCAGGCAAGTGTCTGCCTTTATTTCACCATCTTGGCTCCACCTTTCACTTTAAGATTTATAAAACATGTTCCTCATAGCTATGGTGATAGAAAGTTGACACAAATATTATTATTCAGCTTTTACAAATGAGGAAGTCAAAGTTCAGAAAAGCAACTTACTCAAGGTCACATGGCAATTAAGTGGGAAAGTGTGGAATCAAACTTGGGTTTCCTGACTTCAAGTCTATCTCACTACACCACTTCCCCCAAGGTAACAGTTATGTCAAAAGATGTTAACTTGTCATGAAGCCACAACTCCTAGATTGAAAGGGATACTGATAGGAGATGGAAACAAAGCAATTCAGTACTAATCCAACTGGCTCACTGTCCAGGCACCTGGACACTCTTCTCAGGCTAAGTCAGGGGACCTATACAAATCAGAAAGCCATTCAATATACAGGAATCAAGGGCATTTTGTAGCATAATCAGGCTACCTATTCCTTTCCCAGTAATGGTAAATTTGTTTAATTTGCAGAATAGGTGGTGAAACTGGAGCATAAGCAGGAATTATTATTACCCAACACAGACTAAGGCTGTAGATGCAAAACTGGTGGTGCTGAGCAATTGGAACTCAGCTTTGGCCTTAATGTCGTAGGACGTGATGAAAGATGTCCTGGGGAAATTTAGGGTAAAGGTACCAGAGAGGCTGTGGAAGGCCCAGGACCCAACCAATGGAAATTAATTAAAAATCCCTGGGGCAAAACAACCTTTAGGATTAAAGCATCATAGAAACCCTGTATCATAAATAAATAGACAGCACTTTCCCACTCCAACTTCCCCCTTCCCCCCCCCCAAACAAAACTACCCTCAAAATGGCATAGAAGTTGCTTTCTCCTACCTCAGAGACTTTGTATTCACAGGTTAACTTCTTCCCCTTAACGCCTTCATTTAAGGTGAGGATGAAACCAATGTAATCTGCATATGCCTGCAGAAAAAGAGAGAGAATCAGCCCTATCACCTTGAACCTAACATGAAGGGTCTGAAGATTATTTCTCAGCTCTAACTATTCAGCATACATCACACCAAGATGCTCCAAGGCTCTTAAGCCCTGGTTACAGAGAATAACACAGCATCTAAATTCTTTCCCATCTACCCTCACCTGCCAAACTTTCAACTCTAGGTTCTCTGCAAAACACAGATTTCTTCAGTGGACACTGGCAAACCATGAATCATTCAGACATACACAAACCACACAGCCCCTTCCCCCAACCCAGGCCCTCCAACAACTATACATTTGTTTTTGACCTTCACTTTAGCCCATCCCACAGAGATTGAATGAGGCAGAGGCCACTTCTCACAAAGGGTAGAGAAGCAGTCTCCTATTTTAATCAAACCAATAAGTACCAGGCTCCTCTGCACACATATCACGGGTTTCCATCTATGTTCCTCATATTACCCAAAATCTAAAGGTTAAAGCTACCACAAGGATAAGCAAATTATGACATGCCTAATACTAAAAAGTTCCTGAAAAATTACTAAAGATAATCTACCTACTACCTGCCCCTTTGGTACCCCTTTTTCTCTCACTTTCCTTTCTCATCCCCCAGACACTGAGTTACTTCTCTAGCACTTTGAGCTGTCAAATAATCATCATCTACGAAGGTGGTGTTCCTGTATCGAGATCCTCTTTGGCCAATGATAAAAGAACAACCTGGTACAGAATCTACAAGTCAGAATCAGGTAGATTTCTATAAAAACTCTCCCTAAAGACTTCCTTCCTCAAGAAACACCATGGATCCAGTTGTCTGAGTATACATCCAACTAATAAGCAAGTGCTAAGGCAAAGACTAAATGTAAAAAAAAAAAAAACTGTCATACTAGACTGTACCCAGGGAATCTCCTTCTAAGTCAGAATTTACCTCCAGCTGATGTAATAAGAATTAAAGTCTAAAAAAACACAGTGGGAAATAAGTGAAACCAAAAAAAAAAAAAAAGAAGGTGCATGCATCACTGGTAGACTTTCTTTGACCCCACACATCTCTGGAATTTCTATAGCAGAAAATGAGGGCAAATGTTTGTGAATACTATGCCTGTGGGGCCCTTCCATTAGTCTTGATCTACACTCAAAGAAATAATCTTGAAGTTGATTCAAGTCCCTAACACCCTAGTCCAAATCCAGTTAATGTAACCTAGGAAGAGAATAAGAGTCAGGCTGTGACACAGCCAAACAGCTTACTTCTGGGGCCCCCCAAAAAATGAATTCTAAGCTTCATTCATATATAGCTTTACTGGATAAAATACAATTATAAGAATATAGATAACTATTACAATATCTCCACAAAGAACTGGTACTGACAATCAACACTAGTAAAAATAATTGTTTTCCTTCTCTTCCAATCCACAAAAACATAACACAATTTGCTTATCAGCTAAAATCTCCAGAGACTTGACAGTTGAAGAAGGCTCACCCTGCCCTAGAAAATGAGGCAATTCAGCTACTTAACATATGGGGAAACCAATTTAGGTGTTGAAGAGGTCTACCACATGGCTTAACCAAGATTTTAATTTCAGGCCTATGTTCAGGCCAAGAGAAGCTAAGCCTCCTACTTTTCAAAACTCCAAAAAGAAAGCAAAGGACTAAAATTATGTTTTTGAGTGCCCAGTCCTCCATCATTTAGCTTCTCATACACCAGTTTAGCAAATTAAACAAAATACAAGTATATTAATGGCTCATGAGAACCAGGGCAGATTTCCTGGTCCCAATCCCAAAAGACCTTCTACAAAAGCTTATGTTACTGAGTACTTTTCCTGTAGAAGATAAAACAATAGTTTCTCTCCTAATGTTTAGGGCAGCTACGTGACAAAATGGATAGAACACCAGGCCTGGAGTCAAGAAGACTCCGTGAGTTCAGATCTGGCTCCAGACACTTTCTAGCTGTGTTTGCCCTGTTTCACCCTGTTTGCCTCAGTTCCTCATTTTTAAAATGAGCTGGAGAAGGAAATAGCAAACCACTCCCAAGAAAACCCCAATGGGTTCATGAAGAGTCGGACATAACTAAACAACAACAAACTAACGTTTAGATGGTCCAGACTCTATAGGCAAGTAGGGCTGGGACCTGATTGCCCCAATCCTACCTACATACAAGACTTTGAGCACAAAGAAGAATGATTTCTCAGAACAGAATGATAGCTCCATTTCAGTTCTGATCCTATAGCATAGCTTCTGAAATATGAAGTACTTCCCCCACCAACCCTGCCCACTTGTACCTGAGACCGTTTCCACTTGCCCATGTCAGGAACTGTATTTATCTCCTTCTTTGGAATCATGAAGTTATGAGTAGTAGGAGGGGTCTCTTCCAAAGAGTCTGAATGAAGAAAAAGAAAAAGCAAATAGCTTCTGAATCAAGAGGTAAAATTCTTTCTCTAGCCCTGATACCACCTGATCTTAACTCCCTAAACATGAACCTGAACATCCATTCTCAAACCAAAGCAAAAAATCTTGTCAAAATTAAACCAATGATGTCTTTCCTTCGTATCTCTTCACAAAAAAAAAATATAAAATACAGATTGTTTGATTTATGACTAACACACACAACAGATGATCTCTTGCTTTTAGTTCCTCCCTTTCTCCCAGTCAACCATCTCAAACAAACCACTATGGGAAACAAAAGGGTTTCTAAAAAATCTATGGACTCAAAAGTCAAGGATGGGAAGAAGCTATGAAAAACAGAAATAGGTTGAGAGAAATAGCTTGAGAAACAGCTTGGGACATAGTCCAAGGAAGAATTGGTATGCCTACGTTAGTGATCCTTTGCCAAAAAATACCTTCTCCCACATTTGACATTCCTTTCAATTTTGTTTTACTTCCTGAAATTTTATCATTTAAAAGAATCCTTTGAATTAATAAGCTTCCTCTTGAAAAATGGAATTATCACTGGGGAAAAAAAAGCAAAGAATCATATTGGTATTTATTAGTTTCTTCCTAATACATAAACTGAGATCTATTACACTGAAGAAAAGGGAGTTCTGATTGAAGGGTAAGCAATTTGGTAATTCTGGAACATTCAAGATGACAGGACAAAGCCTAGTAGGGTGGCAAAGCTGGGGAGAGGAGGCCTTCAGGACAGTATGAGGGCACTGATTAGCTGAAGGCCTAAGAATGGCAAGTGAGAAGATGCCACACTTGATCTATAATTTTTTGTCTAGAATGGGCCCTGCTGTCTGAAGTATGGACCCCTGCTCCCAGGGATCTACAATTTAAACAAAGAGTACTTTTAGCAATGAATTTTTAATTTCAACTACACTATAGGATAAAGAAGTTAATATCTATTAGTCTAGGAACCTATCAACATTTACAACATCATTTCTATGGTAAAGTGCTAGCTGAGTTCCAAAATAAAACTCATTACTAGGTTGGGGACTACCAGTACTTAATGGGACACTGATCAACGTCATCCCTCAATTTAGAGAAATTCCTGAAACAATCCAGGTTTATCATTCTTGAGTAGCCCTGAAGCAGGCATAACACACACAGACGTAACACCTGAACATGCAATACCATGAAAAATGTCATACTGAGTCCAGTTCAGCATACCTAGTCCAGGAATGCCAATCAATCAACAAGCATTTATTAGGTATCTACTTTGAGACAGACACTGGAGATACCAATACAAAAGTAAACTAGTCCCTACCTTCAAGAAGCTTATATTCTACTAGAATGCTCACAAATGAGTAACTACAAACTACGTACAAAGGAAATACAAACCGCTGGGAAGGCTGCACTAACTGTGAAAAACAAGAACAAGGGGGTGGCACTTGAGCTGAGTCCTGAAGGGAACTAGTGTTTGCAAGATGTGAGGTGAGGAAAACAATTTCAGGCATGGGAGTTAGCCTGTGCAAAGACATAAAGGCAAGAGATAATACATCTGTTACATTGAACAGCAAGCATGCCAATTTAACTACAGCACTGAACACTTAATGGGGAGTAATATATAATCATCATAGAAAGACAGGCTGGATCCAGATTGGGAAGGGCTTTAAAGACCAAATAGAGAAGTTTATATGCTATCCTAAAGACAATAGGGAACCACTGAAACTTCCCCAGCAGGGAAGTGACATGGTCAGATTTTCATTTTAAGAATATCATTTTGGCAGTTATGTGGAAGAAGAATTAGAGAAGAAAAAGACAATACAGGGAAAGTAACTAGGAATTATTGCAAACTTAATGTAGGCAAGAAGGGAAAAGGGCCTAGATTAGGGTGGTTGTGGTAAGAGGAAACAGAAAAAGGGTGTGATAGACGTTGAAGAGGTAGAATAGTCAACATTTGGCAACTGGATGGGAGGGGGGGAGAGGAAAAGGTAAGTAAAAAAAAAAAGTCAAGGATGTAATAATAGCAGTAGTTAATAGCAGCAGCAGCTAACATTTATACAATACTTTAAGGCTTTCTAAGTGTTTTATATATATCATCTCATTTGATATTCATAACTCTCTAAGGTGAATGCTATTATCCCCATTTTACAAATAAAGAAGCTGAAGCATAAAGAAGTTAAGTGAATTGTCCAGTGTCACACAGCTAGGTGTCTTGGGCAGAATTTGAAATCAGGTCTTCTTGACTCCCAGTAAAGGATACTATCCATTATATCAGCTAGCTGCCTCAAATAGTAACTGCAGAAGAAAAGGCTAGGGAGATTTTTCATATAATCTTAGAGCACAATCAGCCATCTGAAACTGGTTGTTTTAATATCATGGGAAGCTTCTCTCAAATTCTCTAAAACTACAAGAGTGTGTCATGCCATGGAAAACGCCCAACTGGTCAGGGCAGGACAAGTTGAATTACAGTAAAAAAAGTATAGTAGCCTTTACAAATGTCATAGTTATCATCTCTCACATTTATATGCCCAACAAACTTCAGGTACCTCCTTTCACGCCTCTATTCAAATTCCATTCCAGGTGACTGCCCCACTTTAAACCTATATATTGCTTCCTCTGCCCCCACAATGCTCATTCTTGCAAAAGCTTCCCTTTCTGGGTGAGGACCCTGCCCATTAAGATCTCAGTTTAACTGACTTCAGGAGGGTTTTCCACAGCATGTAAGGGAAAGAAAGGACTTGGGTCCTAGGAAGTCCAGACTACATCACCAAACTAGCTTTGGACTTGGGAAATCACTTCATATGTCAGGACTTTAGTTTTCTGTTAAGAAGTAAGGGATAGGACTTAGAAGATACTCTAAAATTTCTTCAAGCTTTAAAATTCTATAATTCTTCTCCCCTCATAACATCTCATCATTAATAATTACTGTTTCCTCCAGTCAAGTCTCTGAACAAGATTCATATTTCCTCCTTTCCGCCCAGCCTTTTTCCTGTAGGTCACCAAACTATCAATCCCCGACCACTCTAAAATGCCCTCCATCATCTTCTCCTTATCATTCACACTCTTCCCCCTTTAGCACCCTATCCCTCTTCTTCAAAGTCACCAAACTCTCCCCTTTCACCTCCTCAGACTGCCTTCCATCCCTCATGACTCTCTCCTCTAAATCATCAAACTCTTCTATTTTGCCTTCCAAGTTAACAAATCCTCCCCTCATCTCTCAAAGTCATAGGATTTCAAGCAGGAAACCTTAAAGAGATGGTCCAATTCCATTTTACAAATAAGGAAACTGAGGTTCAAAGAAGCTAAGCAATTTGCCCAGTCACATAAGTAGTAGCCAGTAGCATCAGGATTGGAACCCAGATCCTCTGACTCCAAATTCAGTCCTAACCTAGCCTTCTTCTTCCCCCACCTCCATACCCCTCAGGTCCTGGGCCTCTTCCTGTCCCCCATCCCTTCAGTTCCAGGGCCTCCCTCCTACCCTCCCACCCCCTCAGACCCTGGGCTTTTTCCTGCCCCCCATCTGCTCAGTCACTTGGGCCTCCTCCTGCCCCCATCCCCTCAGACCCTGGGCCTCCTCTTCCCCTATCCCATCAGTCAGGCCTCTTTCTGCCCCATTCCTTCAGTCACTCGGGCCTCCTGCCCCTGGGGGCCTCCTCCTGCCCCCCATCCCCTAATGGCATCAACGGATGGCTAGTACGTCCTGGCAGCCTCCTCCCAGCGCCCCTCATTGCCCCGACAGCCTTGGCCAGGCCCAGGCCCTACCTGAAGGAGGCTGCCGACCGCTCTCAGCCATCTTCTTTCCCGAGCTGGTCTGTCCACTCGCCCGCCGCTGTCACCTCTCACCTTTCCCCTTTGCCTCCCCTGCTGGCTCCACCCTGGACTGAGAGGGAAGAATTTACTGAAAAGGAACCGGCAGCCGCCCGCTATAACCGAAAACCGCGACCGAGCGTCACCCGGCCAGAGACGCCCGCCATGTTGATGCGGGGCGCCTGGGAAGTGTATCTACCAATGGGAGGGCTCGCGGAGGCCATATTTATTAAGGGCGGTAGCCATGTTGGTGCGGGGCATTCACATTTCCCCGAGGCCCTGCACTGCCATCTTTCTGCGGGGCAGTAGAGAGTTTTTTGTTTTTTTTTTTTTTCCTCCGGTCATGTATCAAGGAAATCATCCCCACGAAAAAATGACTAATACTTTCTACCTACGTTCAGGGGCAAACCTGTAGAGATAAAAACAGAATGACAGAAGAACACAGGTAGGAAAGGAGGTCTGGAGAGCACCGCTGTCTGCTGTCTGAGCTCCCGACTCTTCTCAGTACCTTTGGCCCCGCCCCTCATTGGCTCTGCCCCACCCCCTGAACGCTGGCCCGGCCCTTGGGCCTGGTTACTCCAGCTGCCCTTTCCACCACTGACCCAGCGCCCCGCCCCCCCCTTTCCAACCCGGGCTGCTGGCGCGAGGCGGGGTGGAGGGAGACAGGGACGCCTCCCCTGCCTGGGCTGGCAGGGTGGCGGAGGCACCCGCGGGAGTGACTCTGCGACCTGCAGTCGTCTGCCCTTGGCCCCTTTGGCCGAAGCTAGGAGTGCGTACAGAGGGGAAAAGCAGCAGCGAAATCTACTGGAGGCTCGCTTACTTTGCTCGGATCGAGGTGGGCGGAGCGGACAGTCCGCGGGTCACCAAGATGCTGGCCTTCGCGGCGAGAACCTTGGTGAGTGCGTGCCTTCGTGGGCCCGGGGAGAGGGCTGGAGGAAGGGAGGACCAGAGCCGGGAAAGCCCCAGGGAGGGAACAACCGAGGGAGGAGTAGACCCGGTGCAGGGAGATGGCACCGTGGAAAGCTCCAGCCGCGATGTCTCGGGGGGGCTGTACCCCACAAGCGGCGCGCAGTTCGCGTCTGCGCTGGGAGGGCCTGGGGAAAGACTTGGGAGGCTGGCACTAACCCTGACTCTGACCCTGACCCCCACGTCTTGAGCGTGGCCAGAGGCTTTTGGGGCGTAAAGGTTACGGTCTGGATGACCCGTCTGGCCGCGACGTAGCTGGTGAAATTGGAGCTGATGCGGAGGCCCCCAGGGGAATGATTCAACCGGGCTGTCCCAGAAGATTATACAAGCCAGCTTCGTCAACGATGACCCTTTCCTCCACACCAGAAAGGACCTTTGAGACCATCTAGCTCAACTCCTTATTTTACATCCGGGGAAACTGAAGCCCAGATGGCAGAGAAGGATGGCAAATCAGTCACTCAAACCTTTTATGAAATGCTTACTATGTGCTAGGCCGGGGGGGGGGGGGGGGGGGGGGGGGGGAACTACAAGGACAAAATAAAACAAGCCTTGTCCTCAAGGAGCTTACATCCCAGCTTTTAGAAACAACATGTACATATATGAATAAACATACACAAGGTAGTAGTGCCAGTCTGGGAGTTTGGGAGAACCACACCTAAGGTCTGTGTCCATAGAAAACTTCTCTTGCCCTCTGTCCAGGGCTGAAACTTGTGATTCTGCCCCGTGTCTTAGCTTAAAATGAGGAAGCACAACCTAGTCTCCACAGTTTCTTCTAGCTCTAACGCTATCTTGCCTTCTACTTTTCTAGTCTTTTTACGTCTTACTCACTAGTGAGTGACTTTCCATCCAGAGACACTCTGGTTGTTTGGTCAACAAGACACTCCATCTCTCAGCTCTGGACATTTTCTTTGGCTGTTTCCCATGCCTGGAACACTCTCCCTTCTCCACTCTTACTACTGACCTCCCTGGCTTTCTTTAAGTCCCAACTAAAATCTTAACCTTCCACCTTTGCCCCTTCTTAATTCCAGTGCTTTCCCTCTTTTAATTATTTCCTATTTATCCCGTATATAACTTACTTTGTATATAATTGTTTGTATGTTGTCTCCTCCATTAGAGTGTAAGCTCCTTGAGGGTAAGGCCTTGTATTTTTCCTCTTTTTGTGTCCCCAGCACTTAGCACAGTATTTGGTACATGGTAGGCACTTAATACATGTTTATTGAATTGAAGTCCCTTCCAGCTCTAATACCTTATGATTCAGTAAAAGCAATTCCATGCTCTTAGCATAGCCCACTTTGATTTTTCTGATAATCTCCCAAAGTGTTTGCCTCTCCAGGTAAAGTTAACCCCTGAAAGACCCCAAAACTTGTAAATTAAATGAGGGAATATTCTTACCCACTCACCTTAATTCCACCACCTACCCAGAGCTGTCCTTTTGCAATTAATTCAGAAGAAAGAGAGCTGAGCATTGTGCCAGATCACCAAGAGATTGAAGATGCTGCTCCCTCATCTCACTCCCACACCCACCCTCTAATCATGCCAGGTCACCAGGCTCTGCTCCATTGTCCCTGGGGAATGGTCACCCTGTCTCAGATATTTCTGGAAAAATGTTTTTCCTGTGTAACTCCTTTGAAATTTCTTAGATTATTTATATTTGTATCTCCTTCTGCTTCCTTCTGAGAAAGTTGGTTAAACAATGCTATCCGGCCTGGAGGGATTGGAGATGCCTGGGAGTGTCAGTGACAGCCATACCGAAATGAAATGATGCAATGCTTTATGGACACCCCTCTATAATTTAATTTAATTAAACACCCACCCTATGCTAGGCCAGAGAAAACAAATATGAAAAGGCACAGTCCCTTATCTTTTATTTACAATCCAGTGGAGTATTATAACTTGTATACAAAATAGAATATAAGAGTAAAGGATGGACCCAAACAAATGGATCTGAGGGAAATTTGAAAAGGAAGAAATACTTTGAGCTGGAGGCATAGGGAAGACTTCATGAAGGATATGGCACCTGAGCTGGACCTAGGAAGGAAAAGATTTCAGTAAGTGGTGATAGAGAGGGATAGAGTTCTAAGCATGGCAAATGCACAGAGAGGAAAGAGTAAAAGGCAAGATTAGAAAAGAAGTAGTAGTCCAGTTCAGCTGACAGTGTAGATGAAAAGGAATAATTCTAAATAAGGATGGGAAGGCAAATAAAGACAGCCTATCTTCTGACAGTACTTTATATGCCTTCCAAACAGAGTTCATATTTTATCCTAGAGGCAATAGGGAACCACAGAAGGATTTTGAGCAGGAGAGAGACTGTCCGTAAGGAAGATTATCAACTCTGAAGGGCGTACTGAAGAGGGAGAGGCTGGAGGCTCAATTAGGAGACTATTAAAGTAGCCAAAATAGGAGTGCCCAGCCTCTTTCCCCAGAGAGCAGGAAATCCTCCTGACTTCTCAGCAGGATGGCTGAGTCCTGAGGACCAAACTCAGGTACCTGTTGGCTCCTCAAAGACTCTCTGAGCCAGGTAAAGCCTCCACTTTCTTTACTCCTCAACATCTTGCAATCTAGCTGCCATCCTGCTATTCCACAGAAATGGCTATTTCAAAAGTCAAATGTCAATTGCCTCCTAATTGCCAAATTCAGTGATCTTATTTCTGTCTTCATCCTCTGTGGTATTTCACACTGTTGCTCCTCGAGATTCTTTCCCACTTTGGTTCCCATGACCATCACCCTGCTGGCTCTCCTCCCACTTTGACCACTTCCCTGTCTCCTGACTCCTCCATCTTCATCCCACCTTTAAATGTGGGTTACCCCAAGGCCCTCTCCTTGCTCCTCTTCTAAATCTTCCTATACTTTCTCCTTTGACAATCAGGTTCCCTCCCACAGGTTCAGTTACTGCCTCTGGACAAAGAACTCCTACTTCTGTGTTTCCATTCTCTCTGTTATCTCCCTAGTGCTGGGCCCTTATCAAATGAACAATTGTAAAAGCCTCTTACTTAGTCACCCTGCCTCCAGTCTCCTTTTATACCACTGACCAGTAATTCTCCTTAAGCACTGCTTTGATCATGTCATATGGTCTACTCAAAACCATCTTGAGTAATTCCATGTTTCCTAACAGATGAAGTGTAAACTCTTTATCCTGGCATTCAAGACCCTTCCCAATCTGACTCCAATCTTCCTTTTCAGTCTTATCTCATTTTATTGCCATTTATATTATGTTCAATCAAACTGCTTACCTGCCCTTGCAGGTCTCCATACTTCTTTGCTGTCCCTCAGGACTGGAATGGGTTCCTTCCATGTTCCCATCTCTACCTGTTGAAATGTCTTTCTTCCTTTAAAGCTAAATTCAAGGGATACCCCCTCCATTAAACTCATCTTATATGATCCTATCTCACCTCCAAAACTAATATTTCTCCTCAAATTTTTCATAGCATTTTAGGCCTCTCTCTACCACATTCTCTCTTGGCTCATGGTTATTTGTGTTCATGTCTTATTGTAAGCACTTTAGGGTAAGTACTGTGTTTTATTTCATCTTTGAATTTTCAGCAATTAAGCTGTGCCTTGCATGTAGTAAACCCCTGATGAGTGTTTGTGGTATCAAATTGAATGAAATCCTCCTCTTTTACTCCCTTGTCCCTCCCTACCTTGAAGCAGCACTCCCATAACACCTCAGCAGCTGTGACTTTGAGTCATCGGCTGTCCTAGCTGGAAGAGAACTTAGAGATTATTTAATCTGCTCTACATGGTTAAATGATTTACAAAGGAGTAAAGTGAAGAGTCCAGCTGAGAGGTAAAGACTCTTACTCAAGGTTACCCAGAAAGTTTCTTGAATCAAGCAAAATTTCATGGCAAATGTGCCCCATTTTTTCTGTAATAAGTTTTGTCTCACCTCCACCTACCTGGGTTTTTAAAGACTGGAGTTCAAAAGTGGGGATCAGTGACCTCACACACACGCACATACCGTATTTACTATGGAGAAGCCTCGTGGAAAAGTCCAGCTCTCTCAGAGGGTAGGAGGAAGCCAGGGGTTAGCTTGGCTCCAGTGAAAGGAAGTTTAGCCAGGATCTCTGGCCGCCAGGATCCTTCCCTTAACCATTCTGGAGATGATGGACCATCCCAGGTATCCATGTCCCTTGGAATCCTGGCATGACTGAGCAGTGGACATTCCCTCAGCGCTAAGTGATTTCTACCCAAATGGCAATTTCCCTCTTCCAGCAGGCCCAGATAAAATCAAACAAAT